TTACTTGGAATATTTCTTGCCAATCTCTTCTTGCTTGGAGTGTTTCCATTGAGAAGTCAGTGGCTAACCTTATTGGGACGCCCTTGTATGTTATTTCTTTTTTCTCCCTTGCTGCCTTTAAGATTCTCTCTTTGTCTTGGAAGTTTGCCATTTTAATGATGATGTGTCTTGAAGTGGGCCTCTTTGGGTTCCTCTTGAATGGGACTCTGTGAGATTCCTGGATTTGTGTGACTTTTTCTTTTGTCAAATTAGGGAAATTTTCTCTCTTTACTCTTTCAAATATGTTTTCTATCCCTTGTTCTTCTTCTTCTCCTTCTGGTATTCCTATTATTCGGATATTATTACGTTTCATATTGTCTTGCATTTCTCTTAATCTCTCTTCATTCTTTCTGAGCCTCTTTTCCCTTTCCTGTTCTTTCTGTGAGATGCTTTCTACTTTGTCCTCCAATTCACTAATCCGATCTTCTGTTTCATCCACCCTATTTTTAATGCTTTCCACCGTGCTTTTTAATTCAGAAATTGTATTCTTCATTTCCTCTTGGCCCTTGCTAATAATTTCCATTTCCTTTTTCATGTTGATATAGTTCACAGTGAGATCATTGTAACTTCCCTGTAGTTTCTGGTAGCTGATTGTGAGCTCTTTGAACTTCCTGATCACCAGTGCTTTGAATTCAGTATCTGATAGTTGACTTGCCTCTGTTTCATCTAGCATTCTTTCTGAGGATTCCTCCTTTCCTTTCATTTGGGGATTGTTTCTTTGTCTTCCCATTGTTTGTGAGACTCTTCTTGTTAGCCTCAGCTTCTTAGATTAATCTGTTTTGACACCCTGGGTTTATGGTATGAACTTTTGTGGTGGAATGCCTGTGACTTTCAATGGTGCAGCCTCTTTTGGTTATCCTGTTGTTCTCTGTTTCCACCTACTCAAATATGCAGCAACTTGTGGCTTCTCTCCTACAACAATGTGCAATTTGTCTCTCTGGCTCTACTATTGGGAGGCCTCTTCTATGGGTCCAGCTCTGGTCTTTTTATATTTTCAAGTTGATTGTGACTCTTGTGGGTAAAAGAAATGGTAAGGAAAGAAATAAAAGGAAGAAAGAAAAAAATGGTAGGAGAATGTAAGAAAGAGCAATAAGTTTAGAAAGAAAAGAAAAAGAAATAAAACAGGAAATCCGGGAAAAGAGGACAAAAGTATGGAAAGAAGAAACAGTAATAAAGTTTAAAAGAAATAACAGATTACTTTAAAAAAGCAAAAAGATAAAGAAAAGGAATGGAGAGGGGAGAAAGGTAAATAAAAAAAAGAAAGAATAAAAATAAAATAAAGAAAGAAAAAAAAAAACCCCAAAAAACGCACCAAAATAATCTCTCAAAAAAAAACCCTCAGAAAAAGGAATGTCACTTGTTGGCTTCAAACTAGCCAAACCGGTTTTTCTGGTTGTAGCTGGCTGAGGGTTGATTGTTGTGGTTTTTTTTTTTTTTTTTTCAGCCAGCCCCTCTCAGGATCCAGACACTTGGCGCCTCTCCCCCAGCTCCCTACAATGGGGAGCTAGGACTTTCTCGCAGCGCTCCCTTCCCAGGGGTTACTGCCATAGTCTGGTTTGCTGTGTTTGCAGGCACCTGCACCAGCCTAGTTGCCTGGTTCCCTCGGGATTGAGCACAGGCCTGCCCCCGTTCAGTTGGGAGGCCGCAGACCCTCTGCCCAATCCTGGGCTCGCTGCCAAGCTGGGTGTGAAGCAGAGCAGGCTCCCGAGTCTACCGGATTCAGAGCCCCAGACTGCACCTCTGAGTTCTCCTGGGCTGGCAACCACAGAGTCTTTGGTTGGGGCCCTTTGTCCTCCGCACCCTCTCTGTAAACTCTATCAAACAAGTCTCTCCTGGCCCCCCACCTTGCTTGGCCGGAAAGGGAGGGGGTTGAGGGTCTCAGCTCTTTTCCCAGGACCCCTCAGCGTCCCGGGCTTCCAGATAGTCTGAGGGGGGGTGGACTGGAAGCCGGGAGCCGATCTGAGGACTGGGCGCAGACCTAGAAACTCTGTGTGCTAATCATGGCACGCTGCATGGTGTGTATCCCTTCTGTTCCTGTGTTTGTCTGGGTCCCCTGGCCAACCTCTGGCAAAAAACCAAAACAAACAAACAAACAAACAAAAAAAAAAACCAAAAAGACCCCTAGGGATGTAGCAGCACCACGCCGGGTGCTGGTCCCAGAACTGTGTGCAGGCTGAAATCTCCTCTGCTCCCCCCTCGTTGGGTCTCTTGGCCGGTCTGGGCCCAAAAATCCTAGGGAGGGAGCTTTCTGGGCGCTGAACGTTGGCTTAGGCGTCCTCAGGGACTTGCCCAGACAAACTGCGTGTGGAGCGACTAGATCCCCAACTTGCGCGCAGGCTGAAGTTTCTTCCACACCTCTTTGCCTGGGCCACTCAGCCTGCCCGGCAGAAAAATCCGAGGGAGGGAGCCGTCCGGGCGCTGAACGCTGTCCCAGGCGCCTTTAGGCACTCTCCCAGACACAGTTCCCACCAGGCGCTGAACCTCCGAGCTATGCACAGACTGAAATCACCTCTGCTCCCCTCTGGTTGGGCCACTTGGCAGGTCCCCAGCCCAAAAATCCTAGGGAGGGAGCTTTCCGGGGGCTGAATGTTGGCCTAGGTGCCCTTAGGCATCCGCCCAGACACCCTGCGTGTGGAGCTACTAGATCCCCAACTTGCGCGCAGGCTGAAATTTCTTCCACACCTCTTTGCCTGGGCCACTCGGCCTGCCCGGCAGAAGAATCCCAGGGAGGGGAGCAGTCCGGGCGCTGAAGGCTGCCCCAGGAGCCGTTTGGCTCTGGCCACAGGGCGCCGGCTCCCCTACCCTGCACCGGCTGTTTCTCCCTGCTCCGTCCCAGAGACTACTGTACCGCTGCTGTCTCCCTACCGTCTGGTTCCTCCGTGACCGATGAGGTTTCTCGTCTCTTATTTTCATATATGCTTGGCAACTGCTGGCTTGCTGGCCTCACCTCCTCAGATCGGACAGGTTTCTGTCTCTTTTGTATTAAGAACTGGTATCTACTCCGTCCTAGTCCACCGCCATCTTGAAACCCCTCTGAAGTTCTTAATATACCACTTTTACTCTAAGTTAAAAAAATCACAACTCTCTTCTGGTTAGCTCTAATGATGTAATCATTACTGAAGACCCGCTCTCTGCGGATGTGCTTGTTCCTCTCACTGTTACACAGGGATGTTGCAATTCGAACTCACTTAAATTTGAAAAGTGTTCATCTTTGCAGCTTAGAAAAATGAAGTCATATTTGTTGGTTTAGTAAGAACTTTTGACCTTTATGTTATATAAATTCATGAAGATAGCAATGACTGTAGAATTTCCTTAGGTCTGACCAAATGGTAGCAGAAACTGAATATGAGATTCTAAAATAGTATTTTTCTTTTTATAACTGTTTAAAAGTAGCTATCATTACTAGGGTCATTGCAAGGCAAAATTTCAAAGCTATTTTTACAAAAAAAAATAGCATGTGGTCTCCATTTTCTTTTGGTCTGAATTATACCCGCAATATCCAAATTCTTATTTGAATTTTAAGAATATTTTATTTTTAAGATTTATTTTATTAAGCATTTTTGGGGAGATAAAATAAAATTTCAAGGTAGGCTGTGTGATTCTAGGTGAGTGATAGATTTTCCTTTTGTAGCTTGTGAATTTTCATTTATCAGATTTTTTATTAAGATATTAGGTCTTAGTGGTGGGGGACAGGGAATTCTATACAAAGATTCTAACTTGCTCTGACACCTTTGCCACACTCCCTCCTAGAATATAACTTTAGTGTTAGTTGTCAGCAATTAGAAAATACTGTTTTAGCAGTCTTTATTTCTCTTTTAAATCTTCATCTGAGGATATTTTTGAGAGAGAGAGAGAGGAAGGGAGGGAGGGAGTGAAGCAGGAAGGAAGAGAGAGAGCAACAAAGAGAGATCAATCGGCCTTCTTGTCCGCTCCCTGACCAGGGATAGAACTCACGACCTGTGTATGTGCCCTGACTGAGAATTGAACCTGTGACCTTTTGGTCTATGAGATGATGCTCCAACTAATTGAGCCAGACTGGCAAGGGCTGTTTTGGCAGTCTTGATGCAGCCAGAGGACATCTTCAATAGCATGAGAGATATCCCCTGCACGTAATGTCAACAAGCTCTTTTGCCTTCTGAATTTGATCTTTCTCAGGGTTCAACCTTTACCCCTTAATAGGCATACAACCTTGTGCCATTAACATAGCCAGTTTAAGCCTCAATATTCTCACTTTAAAAATGGGGAGAAATAACATTCATATTAAAGATGGTTGTGGGGGTTAAATTATCATGTAAAATAAACTGTGAAATTCTTGACATATAGTAGGCATGCAATAAATGGTAGTATCTGGTTACCATAAAGAAAAACAAAACTAAAAAACCTTTAAAAATTAATTAAGTATTTAAAAAACTGTACTTGAAAAATAACTAAATAAAATTTTTAAAAAACTTTAAAAATTAAATAACTATTTGATTTAAATCAATACTTTTGGGGAGCAAAACCAGAAACAATTTTTTCTATTTAACTACAGAGAAAATTCTGGATGAATACACCATGAGGTTTATAATAATTTGAAATCTAAATGCTATAATGTTCTCCGCTCCCAACAAGAGGTTTCTACAAGTAATTTTACCTGAAATTTAAAGACAGGTATATGAAATATGCCACAAATAAAAATTCATTTATTATTTTCATTTTAAGGATTTTCAGAATGAATTTAATATCTGGACTGATCATGTAAAGATATATATATTTTTTTCTATAGACATACATGGAGATGACATTGGTAATAATTGAGTTATATAAATTAAAGTATTTGAATTTAAAAGCTCTATCATGTAAATTTAGCTTTATTTTAATTTGATGGATACAGTGTTGTGGGGGTGGGGGGAAGGGTGAGAGAGAGATTGGAATATGTAATTATGAAAGAGGGTGAGACTGTCTTCCCTTCTGTCTTATAGCCTGAAGAATAAATAGTGAAAGCATCAATCAAGAAATGAGAAAAATATCAGGATTTCTCTACCATGGAGAATTGCTTATCAACCACCAGAGGATTCTTTCTTGAACAATGAACATTTCTTACGAGGATTCACAAATTAACATATGACTAATCTTAGTTTTGGGGAGTAAATGAGCTTTCTTTTTTTTTTAATTTTGTGGTAAGTTGTGATGTGTGGATGGATTTTTAAATTCTTTCCTGATAATATATTCAGCTCATGTTAAATTACAACCCTATAAAAACAGTGGGAGCATCGTTTAAACTTAAAGACAGTGGAAAGATCTTTATCTCCAAATTATTCTAGACTCCTTTAACATATAAAATTATTCTATTAAATCCTCGATGATTGAGATGTAAGCCACCTCTACCAAGAAACAAACATTATTTTTTCATCATGTTGAACATGACAATGGCAACATGCACTGAACCAGAAAGAATCACTATTAGTAGAAGATAAGTAATGAATGCAAATTCTGGTCCTTCTCGTTTTGCCTTCAAAAATGTGAGCCAGGTTTGCCATCTGAATAATGAGAAGGAAGCTGGTAAATAAAGGAAGAATCCCCATCTCTGTTTTCTGATCCTTCAAAGAACAGTTTCTCAAGGTTAAGCCAAGTCCTCTTTGCAAGCTGCCAAAATAATAGCTTAGGAAAAAAATTAGTTTGCCTGCATGATGATCCTCTTAGGCAAAAAAGTCTTCACAGCAGTTGACCTTGATGAAATGTTTTCCCAAAGGCTTCCAAAAGAAGAATTATAAATCCCGGAATGAGAGAGAAGTAAATGAATATTTCTTATGAAGTTGGCCTGACTTGTGAGCTTTAATGTGGGGTACTGATGATATGGAAAAAAGTAAATTCTGAAGAATGACAACCTTGGGTATGATGAGGTCCCCTATTCCTCTGTTTCTCACTGATGCCCTCTTTCTGAGCCAAGATTCAATCACTTTGGAAAAAGCATCAGTGGCCAATATGGCCAACTGGAACACTTACTCTCTGGTGGGGAATGTCTCTAAGAATAAATCATAAAGCTCTTTCTCTAGGTTTAATTATTCTCCACCGGGGCTGGATGTGGTGTCCTGCAGGCTGGCTGCAAAGCCAGGCATTTAGCTTCTATTCATGATGCTTCTCAGTGCTCTCTGGCTGGGGTTACCCTTTGTTCATTGTGACCACAAGCAACTGATCTCTGGATGTCAGCGTTTCTGGTTGCCTATTGTTTTTCTACAGAGAGCTGAGGTGGTTATATCTCAGTGAGCAATAAATGAAATGACTTAGAAATGCACAGCATTGTTATTAAGGTCTCTAAAATTTGGCTCCATCCCTGGAGGCGGGCCCACTCAGGAGGGACCAGGGTGGCCAGTTTCCATGCCTGCAGAAGAAACAGCCACACCAGCCACAGCTGTCCTGTTGGAAAGAAGGAAGGTTTCGATGGGAAGCAACCTATTTTGCTGTTTTGGAAAGCACACAAAAGAGCTACCAACCTCCAATGATGACTTTAGTTCAAATGTGTAAAATATGGCTTTATTTGTCAATTCTGCTGTAAAATAAGCACTGTCCATGTTTAAAAAAAAAGTCTTTGTTTTCCTTTGTGTTCAGTGTGTGAGCTCATGCCCTCAGGTGTTTTTGTTTTTGTGTTTTTAATAATCTAATATAGTGTAGATGAGCCTATGAACAGAGATCTCTTTTCTTTTACAGAGAGGCTCTGCCAACATCTATAGATAAGCTTCCAGATATAATAATCTGATTATTTTAGAATTCTTCATTGAAGCACCATTGCTTGCTGGCAAGCTGTCCAGTGAAAGTGAATGAATACCCTGCCAAAGACTTTATTTTCAAATCTCTTTACATATTTCGCCCATGGAGATAAGGGAAATTATCATTCCAGGGAACCATGGAGGTGATGTGTATGTTCAGCTTTAAACAAAAAGAACCTATGGATATACTTATATTTTGGGAAGTCTTAAATGGAAACATTCCTGCTTGGATAGCTAATTGTTTGTTGTCATTTTGTGGGAGGGTGGGGGTGGGGGTGGGGTATGTTTAATTAGGTCACATCTCACATTCTAGTTTCATTATGAATGAATTGGGATGAGATGCAAGGTAAATATTTTCAAAGAGGCAAATTAATTCTGGCTGAGAGAAAAGACCCTTGCAGATTTGAGCTTTGCAGAGCTAATCTGACAGGCCCACCTGACTACAGTAGAGATTTCTAGAGAAATGTGGGTAATCCTTAATTTAGGCAAACTAGGGGAGAACGCTACCTATCAGAACAAGGCTATCCAAATTATCTATACTTAAAGCACTTTCACAGTTCCAGAGTATGTGTAGGAATGTCAATGAAACTAGCCAACTACTGCCCATTTGAAGTTTTGCTCCAATGGGGAGAAATGATTCAGAATTAACATAGCACTCAAGCCTAATGGTGTCCTTCTATTAGAGTAAAATTTTTGTATTTAAAGGGATACTTGCTAAGTGGTTGAAATAGTCTGCCTTTTTTCAGAGATAAAATGCTCCTACAGTCCTGGTTATGCAATTTACTTATTTTCCAAAGAGTGTTTCTTCCTTAAATGCAGAGGTGAGAGCTTCAGGCTAGCACTTGTGCCAATGGCCACAAATGCCATGGCTGTGAAACCCAAATTAATGAGCTTTCATTATATATGGTCTTCATAGCCAAGTGCACTAATAAATATGATCATAAAGCAATCTGCTAAGTGGAGAGGACTACAGTGATCCCTCTTGCTGATAAAAGTGGTAATAAAACTCATCTGCAATTGCTTGCCTACAAAGACCAACAGAATTTGTTTTTCATCTGCCTCTCAGATGACATATAAATATAAATAGGAACTGCAAGAGTCTTTAGAACTTTCTATTGAAGTGAGTTTTTTAGACCAATCAGACCAAGAAAAGAAAAATATGAAATGTTTTGATGAAAAATGCTAATATTCCCATGGGGAAATTTGAGCCCTGGGGGCTGGGCAGGGTCGGATGGAGGCACACCTTTTCTGAAGCTGATCTTTACGTGAGGTATTTTTGACAGGCCACTGTGAGCATGGCATGTTAGAACTCCAACAGAAAAATAACCTTTCTAAACTGTCAGGTAATAAAATTACTACCCTATCTACATTCCACCCAAGATAAATACGCATTGCTCGTTTGACCAGCTTGTACAAGGAATTGATTGTTGTTCTTTTGTGACCAGAATGAGAAGGGTTTGATCAACACATTGTTGTGCCAACAGATCTTTTCTTTTTCTGCTTCTTACATAATATATTCATGCTGAAGTCATGCTAAACTACCTCATAGGTTTGTGGTGTGGATGAGCTAATTAATAAATGTCAAGTGCTTAAAAATATAAATCTCCATATAAGTGCTGCCTTTGTTTTCTAGTTGAAGACCTTCATGTCAAGTTAGCTAACTGGATACTTCATTGAAATAGCCATGCTGATAAATTTGGCTTTATGTTTAATATGCAAATATCTTAATATGAAATTAAATCCTGAATATCCCAGCATGGACTGAGAGCATCAAACTCAAGTCAGGCAAGTGTAGCACCTAGGAAAGAAAAAAGCACTTAGAAGCAACACCGGAATATTTTCTTAAGCAGGTGTTAAAGCAGGCATCCCCCAAGGTGTGTCTGTGGAGGGGTCAACACTGGTTTTAAAGAGTAAGAGTGATTTATTTTGCGTTATAATAGTTAGAATGCCAAAATTTGGTAGTAATTGATATTTAAAACTTAATTGATGTTTAGAAATCATGTAACCCTCAATTCCCTCATATGTGGAGTGAAAGATAAAGACAGTTGTCATAGCTAGTTCATGTATACCTGAATACCTTCAAAGGGAGTTGTTCAGATGAACCTCTGCCTTGATTTGTGTCTTTCTAGAACAATGCTGAACACTGTTTTTCTTTTTTAAGATATTGTTTAAAGAGAGAGGAATGAATAACTAGCAGTTCTGAGTAAGGGCGTGTGAAGGCTATGGCAACTAGCTAAAAAAGAATTTTCCTGCTGCCATTTACTTCCCTGCCACTTCCCCCATATGATCAATTACTTTTTAGTCACTATTCTGAGCTACAGGCTCTTTTGCTAATTTTAAATGCCTCAAGTTAATTAGCAATTTATTCTGACCTTTAGAATCCATATTCTATAATCTTCAAATTATATGTGTGAAAGAAAAAAATCTAATTTTACCTGTCCCCTCACCTCCAACCATCATTAGCAGGTTACAGTGAAACTTGTTGTACCACCTCCACTGTGGTTGGTTGAAGTCTAGGCTCAGGTTCGCTCATTCCATAGGTGGTCACTAGCATCCGCAAAGGCTGCTTTAACTTCAGACGGTTCGAGTAACAAATAATGTAGTATATTTGGCTTCTAAAGGTACGCACTCTTAGAGAAAAAGAAAAGTGAAATTGCTATACACCATACTGAATCCTCGTCTTTCATTCTCGCTATTTGGAGAACTCTCAGCACATTTTCTTCTTGAATTGTTGCTCCTCAAATAATTAAAAGTTCTGACTGTAAGACCACAAATGATGAGCAAGAGGTTTCCTTGGGGTGGCCAGCTCAGTGACCATTTGTTCTATTTTCAAATCAATTTCTTATTGCACATGCTCATATTTCTTGAGACTGTCTTCACAGCTGGTGGGGTGTTATCAGTGTGCATAACAACATCGGTGCTCATGCTTCTGTTGCTGAGAGTCCAAAGACTTGCCGTGTTGGATCAACCCCATGTCCCATCAGTCTGCTACTCTTGGCAGTAAATAGTCTTCAAGAAGCTCAGGATGAGAGGATGTGATTAGCCTCCCTAATTTTGGTTTCAGGGAAATTGTGAATGCTGTGTATGTGTAAGCCAGGCAGCAGGGATGTTTTTCTATTTTGTCAAAAATATGATCTCTTTGGCTGAGCTTGAGAATAATGGAATAAAGGGAGGTCTTCTTGCAAGAAGGTCATCACAGCCACTCTTCTAGACAGTGCGGTCAGAGCATCATGGAGATGTGCCCTGCGGAGAGAGGGCAACCCCTGCCCTCGAGATGTCTACAGTGGGCTTTAGAAGCATTAATATTACAACTGGTTTAAGTTTTCCTCCACCCCTTATTCTGCATTAATTCTTCTTGCCACTTGCCAGGTTTATTTTGAGAACTATATACCCAGAAGTTTAAAGTGGCTCGTCCTTTTTCTCCACCACTCCCCTTCCTTCATTGTAGCATGCTGCCATTCCAAAAGTGGTTAATAACAAAAAAATACAGTCAATATATGGAAATATTTGCCATTTTGGAGACATTTTTAAAAAGCCAGCAAGCTTTTACTTTTGACTAAATGTGTTTTTAAAGCCTCCATCTTTATTATCCTCTTTTCACCACTTAATTTAAGACCAATTACAAGCCCATCTCCTACCTCATTATATGAGCTACTGTTTTTCAGTGTCCTTTAGGTGTAGGGAGTTTAATTGTGATGAAAGCTAATCATATACCCTTTGCAAGCTACCCAGGGGGGTATGTAATAAAGTGTGTGTTCCCCCTGGGTGACTCCATCAGCCATGTACTTCTTTGAAAGTGTTGAGGTGTAAATAAACTAAATATTTGAGAGGTTTTTTTTTTTTCAGTCACCCCCTGGTTCAGAAATTGCCCATATCAGATGAATGGTGAGCCTCTCTCTGGGTGACCTTGGACTCAGTCCTTACACACTTGTGTATAATAACACATCTTAGGGTTAATGTAGAGCCTTACCTCTGTAGCTGTTGAGTGCAAGGCAGAGTACAGTTTCTACTTTTAGGGGGTGTCTGGTATCATCTGACTTATTGCTGGGGTTTGCAGAGAACAAATCATTTTAAATGATCTTTGTTATGCAATTTTTTTCTGAGAATAGATATGGGTACCCTGGAAAAGGATAAACAAAAACCCAAACCTATTTATCATTTTTTTTTGCAAATTCTGGTAAGCCAGTTTATAACAAACACTATAAAGGGGTTGCAGTTATGTTTAGCATATTTGCATCATTAACTTAGTAATTATTAGAGGCTAGTGTAGCTCAGTGGATTGAGCACAGGCCTGCAAATCAAGCGTCACTGGTTTGATTTCCAGTCAGGGCACATGCCTGGGTGGCAGAAGAGGCACAGTGAATTTAGGAGTCCCATCTGACATGCACAAGAGGCAACCACACATTGATATTTCTCTCCCTCTACTTCTCCCTCCCTGTCTCCCTCTCTAAAAATAAATAAATAAAATGTTAAAAATAGTAATTAATTGATTGACTATAAAGTCCCAGGATAGTGCATGCTATAGAGGAAATAGTAAAGGAGTTTTAAAAACCCTGGATCTCAAACATGGTTCTGTCATTTATTTGCCCTGTGATCTCGGACAAGTTATATATGCTTTTGAACTTCAGTTTTTTGTTATTTAAACTGGGCTAATGATACCTTTCTTATAGAGTTGTACAAATTAAACAAATTAACTTCATGCATTTCTTATTCTCTCTTTTCTACCATCCGGTTAGCTAATAATCATTCAATGTAAAACAGAACCATTCAATCTGAGACCTGGAGGAAACTGTAAGAATATCTTGCCCATCTCTCCCACTGCAGTCACTCTGGCTTTTAAAACTATGTGATGAAATAGAAACTTACCTGGAAAAGGGTCCCTGCCAGCAGAGCTTCCCAGAAGAGCAGAGCCCAGAGTGTCCCAGCAGCCCCTTTATCGGTCTCAGCCTCGATTCTGTGGCACTCCCCCACCTCCACTCTAGGCTCAAGCATGTCTGCTAGTTCGCCCACCCCCAGGCATCTCTGCCCCATAGCTCAGTCAGCCTGCTGGGCTTTTACTCAGTACAAAGACCCACAGTCACAGCCATCGAGGAGAGCTGGAGGTCAGTTTTGCTCTAACGGGGCGGGATATGACAGGGGTCTCCTCGACATGTTTCCAACAAACAGAGCGGAGTTCAGCATATGTTTTTATCTAGTAGTTGTATATAGTGTCCATGCGTGTATGCATATAAATAT